TTCGAAAATTGAAGTTATTGGATTCTTCTGGAGTGCCTCCAACTATTTTATTGACTTAAGTCCAATCACATATTGGAATAACATGTCGAGAATACTGTATACTCAACAACGGATTATTCTTATCCATATAAGTTGTTCGAATATCAAAGATTTCAGTTTATAACTTCGAATTACAGTCACCAATAATTATGTTATAGATAGATTTTCTTAAGTTCTAGTAGCAAACTATGTTTCATTGAGCTAACTAAGCCCAAAGTGGTACAATTACCAGTTACATAAGATATCGATAATACTAAACCATAAAATGATTTATGTCATGCTATTAAATTAATCAACATAGATGATAATTAAGTTGTAGAAGTTTCTTAGTTCTGTGTTAATCATATTACCATTGATTAAATGGATGAAAAAGCTTTATCCTGTTCAGACAACATCATAAGAGTGCTTACTATCCTCTGAAGTTGACATCATTTATACGACTGCAAATATGCTTAAATTCATCGCTGTTTTCTTTTGAATTTTATTTCAAGCGCATAGACATAGAGTAAGTGAATTTCCAGATATTTGTGCTCATTTCTATTCAATATCTCATCAATAAAGTGATTACAAGCGTTTATATCAATTACTTACGGTTTGAATTATTTTTTCTGGTTAGTGCTTTTTTAGCGTGTTAGTTTTCTAGGGAATGGGATCGATAACACCATGCTCAACCCTCCTCCTTTATCCGGGCTTTGGGCCAGCAGTAGCCCCAGTGGGGCTTCAGGTGGATTTTTTTATATCGGTCTGTAGAATAAAAATAAGTAACAGACACATCTAAGTTAATCATCTACGTATATCCATTAATTTGTCCTTAAATCTAAATATTACATATTAATCCGTCATATTGTAGTGAACAAAAACACGGGTGAGAACGACCAGATTTACTTAACAATTACAGACTATCTCAATAAAATCTGAATACCATAAAGTAAATCGTCAATTTGCAAAATATTCATGTATCAAATCAAACTGGACTGTTTCTGTTGCAAACACCAATCCATTGTCTCCCATTCCATTGTTCATGCATTTTCTTACAAATTACATTTGTGTTTTTGCTCTTCTTTTCTTGATCTTCCCCTCATCTTCTGCTGCCAGACATTACGTTTTAACTCGCGTCATATACTACTCATATCAATATAAGTAGCTCATACCACAATATTTTTTCAAGGGCATATGTGATTAAAGTATATACTAATTATAACGTTTAGTGACTTGACTTTCATCTTCATATAATTTAAATGGTTTCAGGTAAAGCTTCACATAATTGGCTGAAAGACAACCATCTTTTTTCTACCACTGTATACTTTTGGTTCACTTCTGTCAAATATCCGGATGAAATTTACCGACAAATTCTATATCAAGAAAGGTCTCTTTGAAGACTGATGTTATCTAAACAACTACAGAAAATCTGAGAGCGCTGTAAACTTTTGTATCATAAAACAGAAATAGCCGATATTTGCTTTCAAAAAGTATACCGGAGCATCTAGTAGGTTGGTTTTACAGGGATAAAAGAATGAATCAAGTGTTTCAACCACATACAACTGATTATCTAGTCCAAAAAATCACCGTTTGACAGTCAATCGAATCCTTCCAAATTACTTCTTTTTCCTCTAAACCATGAAAACATTAGCCGTTTTTGGGATGACTCCTGTTTTTTTCGGACACAACCATTTTATTCGATGTTTCTTTTTACTGTGAATAAAACTCGAAGAATTTGCTCTTCTTTTTTAGGCTAACCTTTGAACTCCTATTTCACATTTCGAGATAGTGTTGTTTTGTGTCATCTTTTAGATAATTTGAACTTAAGATCAACTTTTACTCTAACAAACATATCTTGCTCATATAATTTGTCGTGCCATTTTTAAAATTAAACTTTTGCTTGCTCCTCTTTTGAAGAGATCTTGTATAACAATTAAAATATTAAGGACTTGTTTATCGATTACTAATAATACCATTTTCGCATTTATCGTCATTTTGACTGATCAGTGAATTAAATAAATGTGGTTATAAAAATAATATCAACATTAGAATAAACAGAATAAAATTAAATTTCTTAAATATATTTCATCAATACATTTCTAAGACGTTTAGTTCATTATTAAACTTTAATTGGCCAGTAATTGAAAGCTAAGGAATACTGAAAAACTGTTTTGTAGGAGTACGACTTTTATCAACACTACTAACTTTAGGGTTTTCAACAGTCATTCAGTTAAAGTTAGCCTGTAGTGTAAATAGTCTTTAGATTGAAACACTTCAGCTAACTTCTCATCTCAGAACAGACCTTTGATCAGGTGTTCTATTTATAAATCTCAGAGTGCTTTCATAACAAATAAAACAATAAACCATGGGAATTTGTCTAAATTTATGGTGTCTATAACTGACTTAAATTATGATTGACGAATTGCTTTCAGGATATAATTAACTTAGTTTAAACTGTCCAAAAATTCATTTAAGTTAGGGTGTTTGATAAGTTACGATTTATTTCGCGTAATGTTTGTAGTTATCATGCAGTGCTCTGATATTATTCTCTAAAGTTAAAGAGATCCTAGGACTATCAGTTTTGTCTCATTAAACAGTTAAAAAGTGTTCGAAAAAATGTATTGGGAAGGTTACTCGCTTTGGTACAAAAACTTAGCCGTTAACAGTCATTGGTCAAAGGACAACCCTCGAATTTTGGAGATAGTTCATATATATGCCTGCTTTCTAGCAGCGTGTTTTAACCATATGACATTATATTTTATTATATATCTAAGATGTTTCAATTTCAATCATGCGTTGTTAAAATTTAAATGACTGGAACAGCATAGAAAGTTTCTTTCTAATACTTGCTTTGTTTACCAGCTCTTAACTTCAGATGAGGTATCAAAACAGGAAAAATGCTTACATAAAATATGCTATAGGAAATTTGTTGCTTTCTTCAGAATAAAGAAACGCAAACCTTTGAAAATACACATAAAGTAAAAACCAGGTCAATAGCTGGTCCAAACCTTGCGGTTTCTCAACGTTAGAATAAAAACTTACGAATGACGACTCCATCAAGTGTTCTTGATTACAAGGTAAGGTAGGATAATAAAAAATTTAACCCGCTGAAAGATCAAAATATTGGTTTATAACTCAGAAGTTCAATTTGTTTTGCGATGACACACTTTTGGGACTGTCTCTAGAAAAAAGCATAACGCTGGCAACAATATCATTAGTGTCCTTTTGATGCAATGAAATTAATATTTTGCTCTTAATATTCAGAGACAAAGAGTACCAGTGACAAAAGATAGGATGTTTTCTAAACTCTGAACACAAGATGAAGCTGGGTGACGCATTTTATAGTCCTTCACTCTGACTAAAGGATCTACTCCACTACTTTTGTCTGAGCCCGATTCTCTGGGTTTGTTTTTTGAAAACAACTAATTACATTCACCTCGTAAAACGCTTGGTGTAGAGCTCTAACAGATGGCCAGATTTTGTAGGACAGCCAACTGTGTTCCTGTTAACTGGAAGTATAAAGTGACAGTTAATCTACCAATATCAGTTGATCATAATGGTCCTAGCTGTGAAGGGAATTTTATGATCTTCAAAACAACGCGGAAGTATTTTTATTTAAAATCACGTACTAAGTGGGAGAAAATTGCTGGTATTCAAATAAGCCCGTTGGTATAGAGCTTCAATTGGGTGCTGAGTGACTGGGATTTAGACAGTAAATGATCTCTATGCACCTAAAAACCATCCAAACTGACATTACAAGTGAAATTCGCATACTCTAATACCACCGCCAAAATTATGAGTTTGCTGCTGTTGTCATTTCTTTCAGCACCGGTTACTTTTCCTGATTCAATTAATCTAACGTTCTCCATTTAATTTCGACTAGTTTTTAAGTTCATCAAATCAACTTAACGACTTCCAGCGTTTCAATAACCGCTGGCCCTGATAACTCTGAGATCTCATTATGGATCGAAAATTTTCACACAAACCTCGTGAAAATTAAATAAGAATAAATTATTCAAGTGTAGTCAGTTTTCATCTTCACATAAGTCTGCGTTGGCTTAAGTCCTCAAACCATATCAGTGAGATTAAATTATTATACTAAATAACGAATATGAAATAACTGCATTAACAGGGATATTGAGGTATGCGAAATGTTGAAAATATGGTCCTAGAGATATAACATAGTACAAGAATCAATAATGAACTAATATACGTCATTATAAGCAGAGATGGATAGTGGCTAGCAGTGGAATCCAGGACGCGCGTTTCGTCCTGTTTGGGACTCGTCAGCTGGATGTACCTGCATCTCAGAGTTGATGTTCACTCTGGGACTCGAACTCAGTACCGTTCGCTTCAAACGCCATCGCGTTATCCACTTAGCTACTGAGTCCTGATAGCCACTTGCTTGTGCAATGGGGTGAAGTTTAATCTCTGCTTATAATGCTTGTAAATTAAGGCAATATCGAGGCATACGCACAGTATGCACATATGCCAATAAGAGACTGATCAACTTCAGTCCTAAAACATCAATGGGAAGATTCAAATAAAACAATATCAAGTGAATTAATATACGTCATGCCATAAATCGTCTCCAACCAATGGTAGTGGTTATTGCGCGAACACCAGTCAAGAAGTCTGGGGTTACAAACATGGATTAGATCAGTGGTTAGTAGCTTTATGGACGGATAGTAAATACTGGTCTAGACACCCATGATTTTTATAGACCGACCCGTACGTCGAGGTAAGGGCTGGTTGAGTGTACATAACTCATGCTCTAACCACCTTAGTTGACGAATATATACAAAGAATCGTATAAAGAAGGCCTTAACTCCCAACCAACAGCATTATGATTTTCTCTTAAGAAGCTGTAACGAGAAGAGAAACTGGTGAATGACATTTATTTAGTAACCATGACAAAAACTAGATTATGTTATTAATATGTCAGAAATACAATAAGTGAAAATCATAAAAGTAAATAACTGTCAGTGGGTTTTGTTATATGTGTCCTTCCCTTTATAGCCTCCAACATAACCGGAAGCCGCTTTTTCATCCATGACATACTCTCGCCCCTCGATTCCTTTACCTTTACCAGTTTCAGCATCAAACCGTTCTTTATGAGAGCCTGTATATCCTTTTACATCAGTGAGACGTGATGTCGCCGAGTCTTTACTAGCTTGAGTTGCTCCATGAGATTTTGGACCGGAAGTACTGATTATTTTGTTTTTTATTTCGTTCGATGCGTCAGTTGTCGATAAATTTTTTTGTTTTGCATACTCTTCCGCCATTGCTCCTTCGACAAATCTTACAAAATCAGGGAAATCAACGTCTTTTTTGGCACTTTTAAGATGTTTGCAAAAAGCAATATCGACGGCGTTTGCATTAAATGATTTCGTATAGATATTACAGTCGGTACATATTTTTTTAATGGTTTTGTCTGTTGCAGTTCTTGACCCTTTCTTAACTGAATCACAGAAGTCGTAAAATATTTTTTCCAGATCACCCATATTGTTCTAGGAGAAGAACGATCAGCTTTTTAAGAAGTAAAATCAACAGTTAAAACTCAATGTGTGCAGAAACTCTAACACCTTTTAAAATACCTCCAAATATAAAGCGACTGACAAAAATTGACTCTGCAAAACAAAGGGATTGAAACCTAAACATCAAAATTGATATTGACAGAATGTTTGCTGCTGTATCGTAGTGAGACACTTGTAAGAATTTATTTCGAATAAATATGACTTTACATTAGCATGTGGCTAGTTCAGTATCATTTTAATGTTCAAGGTTGACATCTCTTTAATGTTTATGTAAAAGTAAGACTTCTTAAGGTAAATAAATCGTTGGTTGATGATGTTTGTGTCATTCTAAAGCTTGTCAGTGAAGCACTGTCAGTGATTCGGTATCGTTGTTAGCAACAACTTCGTTATGTCACAATGACTAGTCGGGATTGTATATGTGGAGGTAAATAAACCACCAGAAGAAATAACTCTGTGTCTTCAAAACTGATGCTGATCTCATTAGTTTTACTGGAAATGCCCTGGCTGAAGGCGCCCGGTCATGAATCCACACTAGATCACTAGTGGGAATACAGTGCTACGCATCCCTCGTAAATATTAACCACCTTACATCAAACGCTTCTCATTATACCGATAATCTTCTTAATATATCTCTGAACTCATTCATCCCTAACTTCTGACTTGATCAATTCTATGTCCTTTAATCAATAAGGTGTCACTGAACAAAGCACTTTCAAACCAAGAGTATCCGTAGCATTACTAGTTGTGAGCCCGACATGATCTGGTACACTAAACGATAAACTGTGGGCCTATTATTTGTTACACTGTGAGATATCACTTTTCCTTTTTACGTGTCGTAATATTATTTTTGCATCGTAGTGAGGGAACAAATACCCAAACTCCTAACACCACCCTTCAACACATGCCATCCTAGTCTGATAATATCGGAGCCTGGCTCTGCCACACAGAAGCTTACTTTCGCAAGGACGGCATGACAGACCAATGTGCACAAGTCTTCGCAGTAGTAAAGGGGCTGTTGTGGGGTTTTAATAGTCACATTACACTGGTAATTTTATAACTGACACCTTAAAAAAGGCTGTCCTTAAACTTGAAGATATAACCGACCGAAAAAGTTTAGACCAACTCTCCCGCAATATCCAATTACAGTATGGACCGGCACCAGAAATTTCGCTATGTATATGGGTCAACGTACCTTTGATTCAAGCCTCATTAGACTTCCCCAACGGGTGCAAGGAGTACCCACATTCCAAAATAATAACAAATCTGCTTCTGTAGATCGCGTTCCGGAGATCAATAAGACCCCTAAACCGAGGTTCTTTCTGTCTAAAATATCCCCAAACCGCCCAAAATGACATTACGGATTTCTGTAATACTCTCGTTCGTTATCTTAATATTCATCTTAATTGTGGACGGTACAAAACTCCCCAGAGAAGCTCATCACGAAAACGATCTGTCTCTATTCCTGTAGAGATAAATGACGCTGATTGATGTTACTATAATAACACCTTCACTATATCTTATTGAATTTGTAGGAAACTTCCAACTTCCGCCCTTCCCCCAATTTTTCATCATGACAAACCGTTCGTGAAACTTTCACGCCAACACGTTAACAGAAACCGTAGCCAGTGGAAATAGCCCTTTGTTATATTTCACTGATGTGGTGACGAAAATTTAATGTCTTGTCGACAATGACCCAGAAGTAAGCGCTCCCCCCACGAGCACTAATAACCGTCTACAACATCTGGACTTCAAACTACAGGCAGAAAACGGAAAACTGATCGGTAAATATGCCAAAATATATGTTTGTCTCAACGTGGGTTTGTGCAAACCTATTTGCCGGATTTTCGATATGGCAGATTTTTCTTTATCAATCATTGGTTTAGACCCTCTACAACACCATAATCTACTCATGATCCGAAGCAAATGTTGGTTAGTAGACGGAATTACTAAATCATCTGTTAGCAGAACTTCATTTCCTAGTTGTAGGTTATGTCCAATTACGGCTAAGCATATAATCGATCCATACTTCCAACAGATATCCGACAAGTACTCCAAAATTTACCGAACTCAGCTGAAACTACCAAATGTAGCCAGCGATATTCCTACCACATCAGGAATACATGAAGAGCTTACTGACTAGTTCCTGAAGAACTAGGGCTAGCCAAAAATGAATTCGAGCACATAAGAGATTTTGGATTTATCTGATCATCAAGCAGTCCATGGATATTCCTTCCGAAACATCCACGACCTGACAGCAACCTTGAAAGGCATAACTATCTTCAGAAAACCTGACTCAGTCACAGCGTACGATCAAATTCCTTGGACTACAAAAGACATTCCTAAAACGTCTATCATCATACCTTTTGGTCTCAATGAAATATTTCGCATCCCATTGAACTTCAGAAACGCTGCACAAATATTTCACAAATTCATCGATTTCGTATTAAGGTGTTACAACTTCGCGCATGTGTATGCTGATGACTGCTTGACCGCACATCAGCATCGAGATTCCTATCCAAGACATCTGGACCTTGTTTTCGGACGGCCGCAATATCATGACCATCGATGACTGAATGATCAAGCCATTCCTGATCGTTACTCTCTGCCTCACATTCACGATTTGGTAGTTACATTGAAAGGTACAAATGCTTTTTCGAAAATGGACTTGGTTAAATGATACAACCAAATTCCTATTGCATCTGACAACATTTCTAAAACCATTTTCATCAAAACCTTTAGTCTTGACGAATTTTGGCGCATGTATTTCGGTCTAAGAAGTGCTGCAGAAACATTCCAGAGATTCACCGATGACGTTTCTCGAAGTCCCAACTTTGCTGGCTCAGCTAACTCGATCAAGAAGTTTTGATAAGGCGTAGAAGTGTATTCTACAAGCAAACAGCAGATACCAAGTCAGGTCAGGTGAAGCGCACAAATCAAGCGTAGTTATACAAATATTTATAATCGATATTGTCATGGAAAAATTTTAAACATTAATCAATAAATTCATCAATTGACTGCCATTCAAATATCTAAACATTTAATCGACAAGTTGATCGATAAGATTAAATTACAAAATATGAGTTTTGGGGATCTGTCGTCCCAAACACAAACACATGTAGTTGCGGAGACTTACCTCATATAACTCCCTCGAACATTTTCAAGAAACCTACCTTTTTTAAACTCGCTCATCTTCAGAAAGAAGACACTGACCGTCGACAACCCTGAAACTACAGATCGAACAGATGGGAACAGATAAGGAAACCATACTGTGTGACACATCTACAGGTATGGATCGTCTAAGCGTAACGAAACATGAACAACGCAACGGTTTCGATACGTTGCAAAAGTTTTCTCATCCAGGTGGTCGAACAACCATTATGCTCATAGCAGAAAGATTTTGTTGGCCTGGTGTGGATAAAGACGTAAAGGAGTGGGCACGCTCCTGTGTATGCTGACAGAAATCTAGGGTATTAGATACTGTAAATGTGACTCGAGATCTTTCACAACTCCAAACCCTCGTTTAGATAATTTTTAACTTGATTGAATCGTTAAGAGATTCAAATGGGTATTCTTATTCTTTACCGTGTGTGAACTGTTTCACATGGTCGTCAGATGCAGTACTTATCACGAATATTACCACAGGAACCGACGTCGAACGACGATTGGCAAACTGCAATTGCTCTTCAACTCTTGCCACAGATTGTAGATGTCAGTTCGAATCTAGGCGTTTCCATTGTCTTCCTACAGTACTTGGAATCACACGATTCCGAGTGACTGCCAACCATTTATAGGCTTATGGGTTGGTAGAGTAGGTTCATCGACAGTTGCAGACTTCACTCGCAGATGCAGACGCATCACAATAGATTGACGCTTTTTTGCTCGTTTGACTTAGTATTCGCAATGCACTGAAAGCTGACATCGGATACATTGCAGCTTAACCCGTTTATGGAACGAAACTACTATTTCATTCATCTTCAACGAACGCAGACCCAAACTGCCATACGAGCAGGCTTACAAACGCCATGTCTTCAGTCAAATCCATTCCTACTCTACAGCAGTTAACTGGTGATTTAGTTCAACCTACCTTACTATATAGTACACACATCTTTGTACATAGCGAACCACTTCGATGACCTCTTAAAATGGCAGACGAAGGAGTACCAAGTTCTTCAGCTTGAACCTAAGTAATATATAGTAGATAAGAACGGAGCTAACAATAGCATGAACATCGATCGTCTTAAAGCCGCGTATCCAGATGGAATCCATATTGACACCAGCTTTTTTTCGGTACAAGTGTAAAGCACGAGTTCCACAATTACGATACCTCACTGAATAATCAACAATGGGTGAATTTATCCACAACGCAACCATGTAAACTTAATGTATCGCACAGGGTCATCTGTGCTTTCAAGCAACCACAGATATTGTCATTTCATAATGTACTTTTAATTAAATAGCTAGATTATGTTGTTAATTTTGCTCTGTTTTTAATTTTTATTCTCCACGTCTGACTGCGTTACACTGTACGTTCACTCCACGCTGAGATCTTATCCCAAGTCATAGTGAGTTTAATCACATAGTTGATTGTTTCCAGATAGATCGTCAGTGCATAATTCTACTGAAGAAAGGTTTGTTGTACTGTAAACTATGTTTCTATGAACAACTGACTGTTGTCTTCAGTCGGAAAGCAATATATATCCTTTGTCTTCTGTTAGGTAAGTTCAACTGGCCCATATTTCGTGTTTTGGTTCTATCGGCTTAATTATGCCCATTGAACTACTTTGAGCAACATGTCTGTGCAAATGAAACAATAACTATGACACTTGCTTAGTTTAGTATTCTTGGTTGTCGTATAATTCAGTTTAGTTGAAAGAATTATGGTGTTCTTAAGTAAAGTGCTCGAAGCGTGTAACGAAAAGGATCAGTTAAGTAAGTAGAGTTGCCTGTTTCTAATCAGTATACTGATT